CGAAATTTTCCCGAATGATTGGAGAAAAGGACCAGACAGAGAGGATTGAAAACCAAATTATTAAAAGCTTGCAAGATCTTCGGAATAATGGACATATATCAAATACACTTTATGATAGCCTGAAGCCGAGTGGCACAAATGTCCCGAGACTTTCTGGGTTACCAAAAATTCATAAGACAGGTGTCCAGCTTCGCCTGATCTTATCAATGGTTAATTCACCCTACCATGCCGTCGCCCAATGGCTTGTGGAAATTCTAGAGCCAGTAAGACAGCGAATTACACACTACAGCCATCGTGACACCTTTCATTTCATCGAAAGCATCAAAGATCGCAACATCGATAAGAAAGGAATGTTTTCCTTGGATATTGTATCGCTTTTCACCAACGTGCCACTTTTCGAGACGATCGATTACCTTTGTTCCTACATAGAAGAAACAAAAGCAAGTATATGCATACCGTTGCGTGACTTGAAAAGCCTTCTTTTGCGTTGCACTTGGAACGTACAGTTCTTATTCAATGGCACTTACTACCGACAAAAGGATGGTGTAGCTATGGGATCGCCATTGGGTCCGTTGTTAGCTGATGTCTTCATGGCGAAATTAGAGAATACCAAGTTACATGAGGAGATCACGGCCTTTGAATGTTACCACCGCTATATGGACGACATATTTGTCGTGGTCGACCAGTCTGTTGATCTTAACGCTGTTATGGACCGTTTCAATCGGGCCCACGCATCATTGCAGTTTACCCGCGAAAAAGAACTGAACGATCAGTTTCCGTTTCTTGATGTCCTGTTAACTAGAAGTGCAGACGGCTCGATCCAACGGCAGGTCTACAGGAAGCAAACCTGGGGCGGCAAGTATAGGAACTTTCACAGTTTCGTTCCGTTAAGATATAAGCGAAACCTAATTCGCTGTCTAACCACAAGGGCCCACAGGATCTGTTCTGAAGACAAGTTGGATAATGAGTTGACGCTCATTCAGAATTTGCTGCGCGAAAACGGATATCCTGATCGTTTCATTTTTAGGAACATGCAAAGTAAGCCCGACCAGTTACAGGTTCAGACAGCAGAAAAAAAAGAACTTTTCATACGACTACCCTTCAATGGAGACGCCGCTGCTGAGCGTGTAACTAGAAGCCTTCCAACAGCTGTCAAGTCAACTTTTCCAACAGCCATGCTTAGGCGTACCTTTTCCACGGAGCCACTCATCCGTATTTACAACAAAGACAAGTTACCGACGCTGACCGCTTCTATGGTAATTTATCAGTTCAAGTGCGCTTGTGGCGCTATTTACATCGGTCGAACGGCGCAGCAACTGTCGAAACGCAATAAGGAGCACCTACCATGTTGGTTGCGTCGAGGCGGTACTGGAGCTACAACTAGCTCAGTTATGGCTCATCTGGTTGATAGTAGGCATGAGGTTGACCCAGTCAGTGCCTTTCGAATACTGTACAGGGTCCCTCCACTCCAGTCGAAAGGCCTGTGCCTCCGGACCCTTGCTACTGCCGAGGCAATCAGCATTCGGTTGTACCAACCTCTTTTGTGTGCACAAAAGAAGCTGATCGAAGCTGTTCAGCTACCTTGGCCAGCCAAAACGGATCCTTCGGACAGCAACTGCAATTGTGCAACGGTACCTCAGCCCTAGTTTGCTGTTTGTTACTGGTTCATGCCTTTGATCGACACATGATCAATCTCATTTGAACTGATCGTTAATCCCCTTGTACTTGCCCATTGCGATTTTACCCATATGATTGTACAGGTATGAAGATGAATCATCGAAAACAATTGTTTACCTTCGGTCGTTTGTTCTTGATAACGAAATGGGAATTTTCCGCTTACAGAAAAGGAGAACCTAGCGTTAAGCTCTAATGCCCTAAACAAATATTCACAGTAAAGGCGCTAAACTTGTCAACAACATATTGTCACTGCCAACTGTCTATTGTGCAAAGATAAGGCAGCATCAGCGAGATACTTGAGGATTTCACTGCTACGCGTCATAGGCAGAAATTATCTGCAGATAACTCAGCACCAAACAGGTCCGACTAGGAAAGACAGCCAGACACGCCAATGGTGCCGACTGCGAGCCATGTCCTGTAACATCGCAAGTCAAGCACAAGGCAGGTCACGTGCACTCCAGCTTGGAAGGCGAGACAGACCTGGTCGTCAGTGACTTCATTTCTCACTGCCAAGTCAACTTTCGCCCACCTCGAGTCTTGCGCCACCCTACATCTAGCAAACAAAACAAGGCCCTCCTAAGTAAGGGGTGACCGGGCATACGTAGTACGTGCCCAAGCAAACGCAACTTAGGCAGTGTGATCTGTTGTTCTAAGGAACTATCTTGGTTATCAGTGTATAGCAATTGCCTGCGCACATCATCGTTGCGGAAACGCTGGTGCCATCCGACATCAGTAATGATTCGCAGACAACGATGATTAAAGACTTGAAGGCATCACAGGTCATCAGGTCGAAGAAGGCAAGTCTCACTCCCCTAGAGTAGGACGGCCCTCACTGTGACCTTGTAGACGTGGCCTTCCAGACCGAGGGAATGATGGTGATAACAAGAAATCCAGAACCAGTTAGCATAAGTGATTTAGGATTTAGCGTCTTTGCGAAAACCATTAAAGTGTTTTACGGATCGATTCGATCGCTGAAAGTGATAAACCGTTTGTAACCTGATTACTCAGTTCGGCGAGCACATGAACACATGAAAGGAGTGCGGTGCTCTCCCTAAGACAGTAAGAAAGGGATTCTGTTCTGAGAGTCGTAGACGCCTTTGAGTCTTTTGGTAGCGTTCCATACGGACCATTGATCGTATGGGACGGTAGCAACGAATCCGTAACTACCAGATGAAGATGATCAGGTTGCTACTGTAAATTAACAAACAAACTAATATGGTGCGAACGCAGTCTGTATATGCCCGACCAACCCAATAACGAGTTTCAATCGTCTATCAGATGTCAGCCAGAGTTGGGATGGAAAGGCGCAACTTTTGAAATATCAGTTAAAACGAAGTCGATGAAGAATTGACTCAGTGGTGTTGGTCCATTGATCTCCAGTTTAGGATCCACATGACCTACCGCAAATAAGGGATTTCATCGCTGCACGTTATCTTAGCATGATAATTCCCTGTTTGTATTTGCGTGTTGTGGATATGGTATAGATACCTTGACTCCAAATGCTAATTAAGGGCATTTAGATTTCACACTAGAACCTCATTCTTCTTTTATTAATACTCATTCCACAGGTCAATAAGGTTGTAGGATAGTAAGGTATAAGTTCGAATTACTGCTGTACTGCAATTGATGATCATGAGTGTCCGAAGGACTGTTCGTTGCCTGCAACAATTATGGCAATCCACTGTTTTAACAGCAGCGTTTAGCTTATATGAAGCTGAAAAAGATCAGGTAAAGACAGAGGGTAACCAGACAGTATCCAAAAGGAACTGAAGAATCTACAGGCAGTAAGCGATTTTTCGGATCGGTGAGGGGTTGAGATTACGATGGTGCTATTACAAAATGATGATTATGAACCACGAGAAATGTGGTGTAGTCGCAGATGCCGTGGCAAGGCAAATGCATGCCACTGGGTGCAGAGGAGACAGTCGGACGCGCGAATACCAAGAGACCAGATTGATTTGATGAAAACAGTGCGACCAGTAACGCATTGGTGTCGGAGAATGCAGCATTTTCTTCACATGAGGAGAATCCAGACAAGATACGTCCGCGTCAATCTCAGAAGCTCCGGTGAATTCAGTATGTATGGTGGGTAAGGAAGACAGAGTAGGTGGAACGTTATGCCGAACGCCGGAAACACAAGGAATTCTATGACTTGTTGTAGTCAGTGTAAGGGATTCCCTTGCAACCGATGAGGATGATGATTCGGGCGCTACTTATTCACAACCTGCACATAGCATGCAGGAGTGGCGCAAGTATTTCGATGGTCACCTGAATAACCATTAAAAGTTATCAAAAACACCTTGGGATGGCTGAAACAGTAAAAGGTGAGGGACACGTGACATGAGAACTGGCCGGACAATACATTTATTTGCTTCGGGGAAGCTCCGTAGCATCCCAAATAGATATTACGTACAGTTTTATCATAAAATGAGTGTACATAACTTACTCTTGTTATACTGTTCCCATCCTCCGTCCATATTCGCTGGCACTCGTCTACGTGGTGAGTTATTGTGTTGATGCTTGCTCTTGTCTGCTTCATCCGTTCACATCTTCCTTAACCACCTCGAATACAGTCCGCTGTGTTCCACTTCATTCGCCTTCTGGCATCGGACTGATATTAACTAGTTTACAATGTCTTTAAGTCCTATGTTTTCGGACTTACATCAGATTTGAGGTAGGTGGGTGGGTACAACGCAACCCCCCAAGGTCCTTCTGTATCCGCAAGTGTCGCATGACTACACAGGCGTCGTTAAAGAGAAGTCCGAAAAATTCGAGTGCGGCCAGCAATCCACAGCGCAACAACAGTAGTCATCCAAGTGACATTTACCGGTAAAAAGCAATCAACAAACTCGCTGTAGTAATAACTCATCAAGAAGTGGCCAGTGGCCGAGTGGTCTGTGAGCCTGATTTGCAGCCATAAGGTCACCGGTTTGAATCCGAGTAGGGGTGAGCGTCCTCGCGTTATACTCAGCCCAAGCGGGACTGTTGGTGGTCACACGGCAACGAAGCGCCGTTACGCCGTACAGTTAGCAATTCTCAAGAGGTTCATAACGATGAATTATCATAGTCAGACACAGCTGTGTGGCGAACAGGCGTTAAACCCCGGTGATCAGTAAACAAGAGGTTAAAAACGCGCAGAAGTTATGACAAGTATATCTTAGTCCAGGAAAGTTGGGTCAGGAAGGCTGGGCACATGGCTGTTTTCGATTTGGGTGATTTCCATTTTTACACATTATGGTTTAGGTTTGTGAATGTTTGATGAGTAGGATAGGGTAGTGATGGTTCAAGAAGTGTACTACTTAGTACCAACAAAGGTAAAAATGTCAAGTTATCATACGCCAAGACAAGTGAGGCGTAGGGTAGTAAAAACCAAAGGGAACATGTACAATGCAGATCTTACCAGGAGTGTGCATAACCGCTTGAGAATTCTTGTCCTGTAAGAGTGTGAGCTGCTCAGTCATTCGTTTTGTCGTGACTTCGTATTCCTTAATCTTTTCCATACACTGGGAATTGAATAACTTTAAATCCTTGTTTTCTCCTTCGGATCTTCTGTATTTTGCATCGAAAGCTATTGAAGCAAAACACAACCCTGCTGCAAACTGAACGTACCTCTCATTTTCTCCTCTATATCTTGCCGTAAGGCTAACAGATGTCTGTGGAGGTCGTTATTATCTCGAATCAATCGCCCATTATCCGCTTTGTAGGCAGACACATAATCTTCGATATTTGATCGTAATTTGAATTGAGAAAGAAGTTCACTCTTCGCGTTTCGCAGACTCTCAGTAGTCCAGACTAAATCACAAAATAATCGTTCAACCAAGGGCAAACAGTCTAGACTAAGTGGTTGCTTGTAGCCTAACTGGTCAAGCCGCTTCCTCAAGTTGATGAACTTCTCTCTGATTGCTTGTGTGCCCATTGATCGGTAACCCGCACTAAATAAAAGACGGTAGAAGTCGTTCAGTACTCATGTGAGGCCGGTGTTTGGACGAAATGCACACATTACATCAGTACCAGAAAGTAAAGCCACACTGTTGCGCAGAGTGGCATGGTGTATGCAGCTGTAAGGTCTAACATGCAAGTAGATACCGTAACACAATGTCTCATCCATCCCTTGTGATGAAAAACATTGCGACTGAAAGAAAAGGAGGAAAAGCGGCGAGATGAATTAACGGTCGGGAGCACAATGCCGAATCTAAGAAAGGAACTGATTCACAACCAGTTAGATATATGATAATGCTCCAAAGCTTCGCGGTACTGCGTACCGACATAATGCAGATACAGGTCAACTATTGTGCCGCAATACAAAAAAGAGGAATTAGACATTACAACCTCTCAAAAAGCCATATAATGAAAAACAGTATATATATATATACATATATATATATTGAAACAATTAGTTCCCGAGGAAACTTTTAGCAGAAAAGTTAACACAAGAGTGCCACACGATTTAATTCCGGAAATTTTTCTTTGCATATTTTCAAGTGCGTACTACAGACGTGTGAATTTATAGCATCATGAAAGGAGCGCAGTTAAAATGGCAAATTGACCAAACTGTACACACTTACATTCACGTCACTATCTGTGCCCGGCCTGCTACCACGGCAATGCCAGGGTCACAAATGCGTCTTTCTGCACACGCAGAGTTGGGCCGAGTTGTTTGATAGCCACGGTCTCAGCATATCATAAAGTTAGGGGGTTCATTGATGCATAGATAACACGGAACGCCTGCACGGGGTCTACCCAGTGATTGTCAGCCAGATGGCGGGTGATTGATGAAGCTGGTTGTTTGTATGGAAATGCATTTCGTTCCCCTGGCTGCGCATTCAAGGTGGTGGACGTGGCCATCTGCGTAACGTGTTTACTCATCCACGTCGGTATGTGCTCCGCGACCCCCACCCTTAATTGTCGTTCTGTCATGCGCACGTATTCGGCCTTGCAAATACATGTAAATTGGTAAAGGATGTGTGAACGGCTGGACAGCGACAGCAGGAGTTTAACCGATGGAGTAGGGATACGATTTGTTGTGTAGATGAATACTAGTTCCGCCGCAGGGTACACGCGCCACTGCGGATTTCAATCGGCATTGAAAAACCTGGCATACTTTGTCGCCCTTGAATGGCAATTGCAGGGTTACATTTATCTTTGGTACCGTGGGCACACATGTTTTCTCTTTCTCAGCACTAAACTGAGCGATGAAAGACGGTGGGTACCGTTGTCTACCAGGGCGCTGGTTATCAGCCGCAACTTTTATTCTAGTGGTGTCAGCAATGCATATTTTTCTAGCTCTGTTGAACAAAGTCTTCACTAGACTTATTTTTACCTCTTCGGGACAAAAGTGTAGAAGTTCAATTACTGTCCCTTTCACGTTGGCTGGCGGTAAACTGATCTGCGTACTGAACCATCACTTCTACGCTCTATTAGGATTTCCAAGAACGGCAGCATATCATGCTGTTCGTGCTCCGTTGTCACTCTAATGTTTCGGTGTAAGCCATTCAACTTATTAGCCAGTTGGGCTAAATGATACTCGCTGTCGCAGATTAAAATAATATCCACATATTTACGAAACAACACTTTTTCATTGATCTCGTCCATCTTGATTCTCAAGATGGATGACGAAAATGTCTAATAATACCCTTCCCAGTGGACTGCCCATTGCAACAACGTCCACTTGGCGATAGCCTTGTTCTTGAAAATTGAACAATATTTGATATGCGTAACAGAAGTTGTTCTAATTCCGAGACTGTTGTGCCTATTTCTAGTTGGTTTTCAACCACATGGTTACAGATAATCTGAATCGTCTCTTAGTGGCACATTGGTAAATAGTGAGATGATATCGATGCTGACCATAAATTTTCCTCGCCATTCGATACCGTCCAGAAGTTCCACTAATTCTAACGTATCTCTTAGACTATGTTTAACCATTGATCGCTTAACTGGCTCCAACAGTGCTACTACCCACTTAGCTAGCTTGTGTTGTGAGGAATTGCTCATGGACAGAATCGGTTTTAGAGGGACATCCACTTTGCGCAATTTTGGCAAACCATAAAGCTGCAGTGTCTACGTACCCCTGAGTCTTAAGGATTTTGCAGTCGCAGCAGTTATGAAATTTCCTTCTAACAACGTTTGCAGTTCTACGTTCATTCTTTTCTCAAACTATTGGGTTGTTAGGCGTGCCGTTTGGTTAGAATTTACTACGGTCGCTAAGTACTGCCATGATCTTTTCTACATAAGCCGATTTGTCTAACACTACAGCACCCGAATCTTTGTCCGCTTGAAGGACAAACACCTTTCCCTCTGATCTGAGTTGTTTTAAGGCCTCTAAATGTTTAGCTTCGAAGGGAAATTTTTGGCTAGAGCTGGAGATTCGACACGTGTTCAAGATCTACGAGTTTTCTTTAAGCCACTGCTCGTTATCTTTGAAGGTTGGCGTAAGTCCAACAAGTTAATGTAAAATACCTCTATGTGAGCTTGGGTTTCTATGCTGTTAGTCTTTCCAGGTGGAAGACAAAATTGCAACCCACATGACAGAACCACTAATTGTAGGGGAGTTAACGACAAAGAGGATAGATTGGTAACATACTTTGATGGTTAAAAAGGTAAACTATGAAAAACAGTTTGTGATTCAGTGACTTAATAAAACGCTCATCCCAGATCCTCTGTTCCAAGTACCAAATTCCAACAGAAGCTAACAAATTTGAAGTACTTTACCAAAGTTAATTCGTCGATTGCTGATCGTTTGGCCAAGCACATCTTACGGTATTTTTTGAGCTTTTCTGTAGTCTTCTAGAGAAAGCACCAGAATATTCGTCTTAAATTCCTAGCGTGCGATCGTAGTTTCTGTGCTCGCAGTCCCTTGCAATAAGCAGCGGGGAAACGGTACACATTTACACATTGTTTCAAGAACTCCTTTCAATGAACAATGAATTTAGACGAGTTAAGATGCGTTGCTTTACAAGTCCCGTTGGATAGTTGCAGGGGACATCAACATAACAATAATGATGATAAGGATAGCAAAATAGTTAATACTTTAAATATGAAAATAAGGACTTATCACTCGCTTCGCTGTAGTCCTGCGGTCCTCTAGGATTCACAGCATCCACAGTTAACAACAAATAATTCCATGGTAAACTCCTGGTGTAGGATGGAGACGTAGTGTTAAGTAACAAAGTGTAAGTGGATGAGTGCATCGTCCAACCGTAATTTAAATACTGTGAGTGTCGGTGCAGAGACGACCGATTCTGGGAGAGCATTCCACGGGTGACAGACACGGATGGAAAAGAAATTTCTGCGGCACTCCAGACGACTGTATTGTTCTGTGAGTTTTAATGAGTGGCCCCTCAGTTTTGTATTGCTGCTGAGTTGCAGTAGAGGGCGGCACACATGATGTGGGTCTCGCAGAATCAAGTATATCATAATAAGGTCGCCTCGTAGCCTGCGATAGCTGCCACTGAACAATCCCAGTCGTCGCAGCCTCTCCTGGTAGGAACGATTGCGCATTCCAATTACGTTCTTAGATGCCCGGCGTTGTGGCTGCTCCAGTGCATTAAGGTCGTGTTTCAGCCATGGATGCCAGGCTTGAATTGCATATTCGACATGGGGGCGAACATACGCACTGAGCATTTGTCGAAATATGGAGCTGTTTATTTGTCCAAACGCCCGCCTCAACAGCCCAACGTGTTGGTTCCCGATCTTCGAGGCCTTTTCGGATTGCCTGGAGCAACCCAAGTCATCTTGAACCAGGACACCCAAGTCACGTTCGAGAGTTGATTGTTGCAGTACATCCGTTCCGAGTCGGTATGAGTAGCTGCTTTGATGTCGGATGGAAAGCACCTTGCATTTACTGACGTTGAAATGCAATAAGTTTTGGGTCGACCATTGATACACCGTATCTAAATCACTCTGAAGCAAATGTTCGTCGGTGTTCGCCTGGATCCTGTGCCAGATCTTGATGTCGTCGACAAACATTAGGAAGTTTGAAGCGATTCCCTGTGCAAGGTCATTAATGAACACCAAAAACTAACGTGGACCTACAACTGAGCACTGCGGCACACCACACTCCACTTGTATGGGGTCCGATAAAGAGCTCCGAACTCTGACCACTAATTGCCGCTGAAATAGAAAGTTGGCGATCCAGCATAAAAGAGGGTCTCCGATCCCGTAATGCTGCAGCTTGGATAGTAGTATCCGATGGTCTAGACAATCGAAAGCCTTGGAAAAATCCAGGTAGATCACATCAACACCTTCTCCAGTGTCGGCTGCCTCGGTCCAACTACTGCGTGCAATTAGTAAATTAGTTGTACATGACCGCTGTCGACGCAAACCGTGCTGTTCAGGAGTGCTGAGGTTGCAGTTTTCCAGATAGCACATCAGTGCAACGGCAACTATGGATTCCATGACCTTGAAGAGTATAGGAAGAAGGGTTACTGGACGGTAGTTGGAGGGATCAGTTCTGCTTCCACCTTTGTGAATCGGGCTTATTATTCCAAGCTTCCACATGGCAGGAACTTGGTTCTGGTCTAAGCAGTGCTGGAAAAACTGAGCTAAATATCCTGCCAGTTGGTTTGCTGCTGCTCCCAATGCCTCTGGACGAATGGTGTCGACACCTAGCGAGCTGTGAAGGTGTTTGCGTAGAGAAGTCAGCTTTTGCAATAAAGCCTCTGCGGTAAAATTGATGTGGGTTAGTCCTGGTGAGCAGAATACAAAGCTTGGTAGATCGCTTGGTGGCAAGAATCTTTGTAACGTAGGGGCGTATTGCATCTGCAGCGCTTTTGCAGCTTTCATATATGTTCTTGTTGGGCCAGCCGTATTGAGTGGAGGAAATCCTTACCTCACCTTTCGTAGGCTATTAACGTGTTTGTACAGCAGTTTGTGGTTAGCACGGAAGGTTTTTGCAATGTTCTGCTGATAGGCGGCTTT